TTTTTTTTGTGTCTGTTACCACTTTTTCTCAGCTCTCACCGAACGGATTTTGATGAACGATATGTCAAAAGATCACAAATCGTATCTAGTCGAAGACATTACCTTCAAAAATTGAAAAAAATTCCCTCGTTCCCCGTAAATAGGGGAAACCTCCAAAAAAATTACAAATTTAAAAATCGCTATTTTTCGAAATTTTTTCAATTATTTTTACTTAAAAGTGCCATAACTTTTTCAAAAATGAACATATCAATATAATTTTTTTTTATATAGATGCTTGATGTCTTTACTTATCATTTGGTATATTTTTTTTGTAAATCTGACACTTAACCTGCCCACAGGGGGGGATTTAAAATGACAACTTTTTCACAAAAAATTAACTTTTTCAACTTAACTTTTGAAAATGTTCCGGAAGGTCTGACACTTTTATATATATCTTAAATTAAAGCTAATGTAATGTACTTTATCTTGAAAAAAAAAAATTTTGGACTTTATTTTATCTTCACGGTGAAAATAGCTACCAAATGCTATTTTTGTGTGAAAATTCTCGATTTTATAATTTACATTTTTAACTTTATAATGCTATGACATATTGTAAAGTGTATGGATCAACATTATTCTTTTATGAGAAATAATATTTTTAATAATCCCTTTTTCATTCGACATACTATATCTTAATTAGGATATTAATAATGAACTAGCAGATCATGTAGCTGTTGGAATAATCCACCAATTTTTTTATATTAAACACTATCTAAAGATTTGCATCGAAGCGTTTTTTTTGTGATAGTGATTTTAATCACTGTCAGATATCATTATACTTGATCCATCTATGCCACGTCACCACTGTGCCGCGACCCCCCTGTGCTGGGTTTTTATTATTATAAGTATATTATATACATTAAAATATTTTGGGAAAATTTGAGATATTTTAAAACAATTTTACTGGACACTCAACGCGTTTTCAATATTTGGACCAAAAATACCCAAAAAACAAAAAACATGCTCTGTTATAAAATTTTTGGTAAAATATTATAATAAGAATATCATATTAGTTTGATTTTACTGTAGAAGACAATTTTTTTTGTTTCAAAATTTTAAGTTGAAGATTGATAGCGTTGTTATATTGTATATTTCTTGTAGTTCTTTTAAATAAGTAAGCTTAAAATAAAAAAAAAAAAAATTTATGCAGTTTGTCTGATATTCATATTAATTAAAAGAAGAAAAAAATTATTCACTAATACAAAAAACAAATACCATTTTTAGCTCCGATGCGAAACTGAGCAGGTTTTATTTATTGGTTTTACCATGAGTTTTTTTTTTGTGTCTGTTACCACTTTTTCTCAGCTCTCACCGAACCGATTTCTTTCAATGATATGTCAAAAGATCACAAATCGTATCTAGTCGAAGACATTACCCTCAAAAATTTAAAAAATTTCCCTCGTTCCACGTAAATGGGGAAACCTCCAAAAAAATTACAAATTTATAAATCGCTAATTTTCGAAATTTTTAAAAAATTTTTTACTAAAAACTGCCGTAACTTTTTCAAAAATGAATATACCAATATAATTTTTTTTTTATAAATGCTAGATATCTTTACCTATCATTTGAT